ACAACAACAGCAGCAACAACAGCAACAACAGCAACATCAACAACAACAACAACAACAATAAGATATAAACTAACCAACATATTGTTCTTGTTGTTTATGTATATCTTTTGTTCCCTGTCTCCCTACAGGTATATTTTTTGTTTGTCTATCCCCTCGTTGTTGTTGCTGTTGCTGCTGTTGCTGCTGCAGTCCCTGCTGTTGCTGCTGTTGCTGCTGCTGCTGCTGCTGTTGTATTAGATTAAAATGCTGTAATAATGTACCTCCTGTACAATATTGCATAACAATCCAACAAAAAGAGTAATTATTATGAATAAATAAATCATAAGATTTAATTATATTAGGATGATCTAAATATTTCATTAAAATTATTTCTTTTTTTATTCTTTTTATGTCTCCTTTATTACCATATATACGTAATTTATTTAAATCTATTATTTTTACACAATATATATTCTTGTTGCTGCTGCTGCTGCTGCTGCTGCTGTTGCATGCGCTGCATGCGCTGCTGCATAATGTACATTCTTCTCTTGTTAATTTGGTTAGAGTATGGCTTGGATTGAGTTTATGGTTATTTTTATATAAACAATTACATATTCTGTTGCTGTTGCTGTTGCTGCTGCTGCTGCTGCTGCTGCTGCTGCTGCTGCTGCTGCTGCTGTTGCTGCTGCTGCTGTTGCTGCTGCTGCTGCTGCTGTTTCTTAATCTTACTCTCTTAACTAGACCATATGCACCTGATCCAATTATACCATCAATTTCTTCGTATTTTATTCTATAAGAATATTCATCACCATATGATACAAATGGAGGTAACCAACGATTTAATCTCTTGCTCCTGCTGCTGCTGCTGCTGTTGCTGCTGTTGCTGCTGTTGCTGCTGCTGTTGCTGCTGTTGCTGGTGGTGGTGCTGTTGTTCGTGGTGGTGGTGGTGGTGGTGGGGTTGTTTGTTGTTGATGGGGTTGTTGTTGTTGTTGTTGTACAGTTTATGCAGCATGTTGTAGTGTTTGTGCTGCTGCTGTTGCTGCTGCTGCTGTTGCTGTTGCTGCTGCTGATGCTTATGCTGCAGTTATTGTTGCAGCAACTTGTGCTGCAACTGCTGCTGCTGCTGTTTGTACTTGTTGGCCATGAACAACAACCACAAGATGTACTGCTGCTGCTGCTGCTGCTGCTGCTGTTGCTGTTGTTGTTGCGACAGCAACTAGGGATAGGAGAGGAACAACAATATCCCTTACTACTACTACTGTTGCTGCTGCTGCTGCTGCTGCTGTTGCTGCTGTTGCTGCTGGCGCTGCAGTGATCTGCAGCAGGACATATAATCCCTTGTGGGGTTTTGCTGCTGCTGCAATGACGACCCCACATTTCTCCCACAAGTTCTTGCTGCTGCTGCTGCAATTGCTGCTGCTGCTGCTGCTGCACTTGCTGCTGCTGCTGCTGCTGCTGTTATAAGCCAAGTAGACAATAAAATAATAAAAATAATAATAAAGAGACAAAAGGAGACAAGAGCAGCAGCAACAGCAGCAGCAGCAGCAACAACAAGTTAAGGACTTAATTGTCCCTTCTTGTTGTCCCTTTTGCTGCAGGCTATGCATGCAGTGTCTCCTCCTGCTGCATCTCTACACCCCCTCCTGCTGCTGCTGCTGCTGCTGCTGCTGCTGGAGGAAGAAGAAGAAGAAAAGGAGACACATACACCTTGTGCTGCCGATAAAGGAGAGACAAAAATAGAAAAAAAATCTTATAGGAGCATCTGCTGCTGCTGCTGCTGCTGCTGCTGCTGCTGCTGCTGCTGCTGCTCTTTATCCCACTAATAAGTATAAATATAAAGGAGACACAAGACAAGACAAGACAAACAACAGATTGGGGTGTATAGGCAGCAGTGTGTGTATGTATGTGTGTATATATATAGCTGTTGCTGCTGCTGCTGTTGTTGTTGTTGTTGTTGCAGCTACTGCTGCTGCTGCTGCTGCTGTTGATGCTGCAGGAGCAACAACAGCAGCAAACAGCTAACAACAAGCAGCAGCAAATGTACAAGATCTTATGCACACAAATCCATGCTGCACTGTTGTAATCTAGTTGCTGCTGCTGCTGCTGCTGCTGCTGCTGCTGTTGTTGTTACTGCTGTTGCTGTTGTTGTTGTTGCTGCTGCTGCTCAGCAGCAACCCTGTCCAACATGCACGCCACCGTGTATATATATACTATGGGGCTGTTCCTGCTGCTGCTGTTGCTGCTGCTGTTGCTGCTGTTTGCTGCTGCTGCTGCTGCTGCAGCAGCAAACTGTCGCTCCTTCTGTGTATAAAAAGAAATAAAAAAAATAAATAATTAATTAAATTTATTTTTCTTGTCTTTTATATATTTTACCCTTGAGACATGAATAAAAAAAGACCAGCAGCAGCAGCAGCATGCAAGCTGCTGCTGTTGCTGCTGCTGCTGCAGCAGGGGGTGGTTATCGGTGGGGTTGTTGTTGCTGCTCTTTAACGTCTCTTTTTTTCTTCTTCTTCTTTTTTTTTATTTAATTATTTATTTATTCTTTTTTATTTATTTATTTATATGCATGCATTTATTTTTCTTTTTTTTTTGCTCCTTTTCTTCTTCCTGCTGCTCCTCTTTCCTCCCCACCACCATATACAACACACACCACAGTCCCAAGACAGCAGCAACAGCAGCAACAGCAGCAACAGCAGCAACAGCAGCAACAGCAGCAATTATAGTATATATTAATTATAGTATAGATGCATGCATGCAGCCAATTAGCTAACACACCCTTTTCTTCCCCTCCTTCTTCCCCCTATAACACACCACCAACCATCTATGAGTAACACATACATACAGCTAGCTACAGCTAGCCATGGCTAGCTGCAGCTAGCCATAACTAGCCATGGCTAGCTATAGTTATCTATAGCTAGCTGCAACTAGCTCACGCGAGTAACTCGCTGCTGCTGATGCTGCTGCTGATGCTGTGCTGACCCAGAGAGACGTGTCTCGAGGAAGGAGGCAGCAGCAACAGCAACAGCAACAGCAACAGCAACAGCAAATTTCTTAGTTATAATTGCATGCTACTGATCGTATCGATTGCTGCTGTTGCTGCTGTTGCTGCTGTTCCTGTTGCTGCTGCTGTTGCTGCTGCTGTTGCTGCTGCTGTTGCTGCTGCTAACGGTGCGCGTCACAGATGAACTGCTGCACATCCTTCTGCGTGCGTCTCTATTGCATGCAGCCCCACCGTCAGCAGCAGCAGCAGCAGCAGCAGCAGCAGTAGCAGTAGCAGGAGGCAACTTAGTGCATGCAAGAGCCAATTATATACCCTATAAAGGGGAAGACAGCAGCAGCAGCAGCAGCAGCAGCAGCGCATGTTAGATACATAGCCATCAAGCCCCAATCTTACAGATAAATAAGCAATAAATAAATAAAATATTAATTTTATTTTATTTATTATTTATTTATTTATTTATTTATTTATTTATTTGTACCTTCTTGCATTCATTATGCATGCATAATGGCTACTACGGATACTGTCTTGTCTCTTCCTCCTCCTTGTCTCCGTCTCTCCCTCCTTCCTCCTTTTCTTCCTTTCTTCCC